GAAACCTGTGAAATACAGTCTTTCAAATGGGTAGTTAAACTTTTGAAAGGTGATAATTAAAGGCTATTGGAATCTCAATAGGACATCTCTCAGGCATTAGCTCAACAAAACCTTAGAGAAAACAGCAGGTCCAAAACCTATTGTGTAAAAAAACCTAAATACCTAAAAAGTTATTGGGGGCGGGGGGAGGAGAGACTTGTTTGGAGAATGGGGGTAGCCACCCTAGATAATGGGCGAGACATGATAGGTGAGGTAATATCTTTTATTGGACCAAGTTCCAACTTCTCTTGGGTGAGAGAGACAAAGCTTTCAAGCTACACAGAGTTCTTCTTCAGGTCTTCCCTTAAGAACTTTTTAGGTACTTATTTAGTTTTTTACCCAATAGGTTTTGGACTTACTGTTTTCTTTAAAGTTTTGTTGAGCTAATGCCCGAGAGATGTCCTATTGAGAATCCAGTGGCCTTTAATCATCACCTTTCAAAAGTTTAACTACCCATTTGAAAGACTGTATTTCACCGAGCAGTCTGCCCATCAAGTAAAGTGGCTTCTGATGGGCAATACAAATTGTTCACTGAATAAGGTCTGGCTGAGGAAGAATCTTTCTAAAACTAAAACTCCCCCCTCCTCAGATTATAAATATTACTTTGACATGTTCAGTCCATCACAACTCTCCAGTGAAACAGTACAAGATATTGTACCGCACAGAACACCTTTCTCTTCATGATCTCCCTCAACTACTACATTTCTCTGCCACCCTCTGTGAAGCTTGTGAGAGTGAAGGATTTCTTAGCAACAGGCCCAAAGCTTTGGAACTCATTAATGGAGGAGCTAAGAATGAGCTCAAATCTCATTGCCAGCGGGATAAAGTGCAGTGCTCACTTATTAGACTGTGCTATCCCACAGCAACTATACAAAGCAAAGAAAAATAGAGGTGGAAGAGGAGGAAAAAAGAGAAAAAAAGATGTAACAGGAGAGATATGGAAGAAACTTGACAAAGCATCATCTGATATAGAAATTCCTGTCTCCAAAGCAGAGGAGGGTGTTATACTTGGATACTTGATAGATATCAGACAACTATTACTTGAGTTTATTTGAACACAAAGACAAAATATCCACCTTTTAACCTTTTACAAGATTGACTAATTAGCAAGCAGCACAGCAGTCTCTTTGTTTCCTAAATCACAGATTGTTTTAGGTGACAGGTGGGACCAACTATTGAAGAGCAAATCATCCCAGGAAATGTAGATTTTCTTAATGTGAAAGTTTAAAGTGCAGGAGAAAAACCCTGAGTCAGGATCAAATCCAGATGTGTTGTACAAAATATTTTTCACTAATATTTGTGAAAAACTGAAAAGCAGTTTTCCTTCCTTCCTTCTGACCCTCTGCTCCTCATTCAGACACTCCTGTGCTCAGCCAACTACCCGGCTTCCCCAATAGTTTTTTATGAGCTTCTCTTCCACTCTGCTTTCCCCTAGAAAACCAGCAATTCCCAGGCTGTAACAAAAGTCCCAGCTTTCCTGGAGAAAGGGCAGCAGACATCAGCTCTCCCAGCCCCATTTATTTTCTTTTTCAGAGCTTTCAGCCCTCACTTCTGGCATCTCCATTGGCATAAGCTGGCACAACTCTATTGATTTCAGTGGAAACCAAGCCAAATTCAGCTCTGTCTTTAAATTGTTGAGCTACACTGGAAGTTGACTTTGTATTTGATCATGGGCCTTCATATTTATTGCATTTCAATTGTTCTACAACAAATTTGCTCAATTTACAAATAGAAAAATATGTTCTAATTGCCAAGTCTGCAAACTCAGCCTTTAACCTAAAAATCAAATTGAGCTCATACTGGCTAAGACATCACCACCCGCAGAGATCCTGTAATTGGAACATATTTAACAACTCTGTTGATGCATGAGCCAGAATAAAATCAGCTCATTCTCTCAGTTTTGTTAGCTCTGCAGGGCTAACAGGAGTAAGAAGTTGTACAGATTTATCTTAGTCAGTAAATTCAGTTGCTGTGACACTAAATATCCCCTGGAATCCGGTCCATTAAGTAAGAAAGGTGCCATTTTGTATAGGCACTTTTCAAAGCTGGAGTGCAATTTACAGGCTCTGTACTGCAGAACCCAGTTCACACAAGTAGTTGTTACTTAGACCATCTAAGCCTTGAACACTGTCTGTACTGGGTGTCCCCTGTAAGTGACGTGACAGGTCATCCTGTCCTTCCTCTCTCTGATGTAGAAGTGGTCTCCAAGCTAGCCCCACACAATGTGGGTCAAAGTCTACAAAAGGGGTATTGGACTTCACTCACAAGTAGCACCATTCAGGTGCAAGCAGAGGCCTGCTAAGTATTATTATTCACATTAGCAAGACTTACTTAGATAAGGAAACATCTGCAGAAATAATAGCTTACTGCATTTGTCAAAGAAAACAATGTTCTTTATTATCACTGGTTAAGCAGAAAACTGAACAAAATATAGCTTAGAGAGACTGAAGAAATTTAAATGTGTCCTGAAATTAGGAAGAATCCTAGGATGTGAGTATGCCTTTGACAGCTATTTCCTGAAAGATGCACTGGACTAGATACTGGCTTGTCTTTTAATGTCCGTAATTGAACATAGACAACTTTAAAGCCAGTACCACTTAGCACATCTTTTAATTTTTGTTTGTTTTTAAACCAGGAGCTGCAAGAGATGCTAGATAAGCACAAGGCCCAAAATGAAGCCTGGCTCAAAGCCAGAGCAGAGGAAAATGACAAGGAAAGGAAAGAAATATGTAAACTGAGGGTAAACTTTTTCCAAAGTAACATATAACTGTGTGCATAACTGGAGAGTCCATTTGGATCCTTTCTATATGTGTTTTGGGCACAATTCTTATAGCAATAATGAAATAAGCAAAATGTGTTTTTTTTCTTGAACACCACATATGAAGATGATACAACAACAACAAAACCAGTTCCCAAAGTATTCTAGAAGGAAATGTTAAATGAATCACCGACTGCTAGTTCTGGATTACATTTTTAAATTGCTTTCAAATAATTTAATTGTTTTCCCCTTCAGCTTTTTAGTTACGGTAGCTAAAATACATAAACATGTTTCCAGCAACCAAACAATCAATTTTTGCATGAACGATAAACATATTTTGTTCACTATTGCTCTGTTTTAGTTCGGATTTATCTTTAAGAATTCCTCTGGTAAGAACTGAACCAAAAAAGTCTACTTTTAAAATAGTTAACAACCCCCCCTGCCCTATACTAGTTTATTTTAAAAACTTAAAATACATTATTTTGTCCATATAGAGCCAGTTTTAATAATTATCACAATGATTTTCCTTATTAATGTAGCTTTGTTTGTTTTTTAATGCATGCAAACATTCTTTTTATCCTCCTCCTCAGTGGCCCAGTCCTGCCATCCTCACTCAGAGCCAGATTCTCCCCCGTGCTTCGAGTAGAGAGGAGTGCAAGCAGATTATAACTGAGTCAGGGCCACAGAACGTGACAGCACCAGCTCTGCAGTATGTTCTCCTCTCCTCCCCCAATAAGGGAAACTGCAGAAGCCTTTTTCCTAGACTGTGCCAGGTCAGGTCTCTGAGGTATTTGGAGGTAGGGCCAGGGATAGAACTAGGGAGCAGGTGCAGTCTGGAGTGTGCTGCCATGCTGAATCCATGGATTATCCAATCAGGTGTTAACATTAATAACTAGGGACTCTCCTTCATGGCTACTACTGTGAAGCTGAGGGGGTGTCAGCCAGCGGTAGAATGGATCCTGAATAAGAAACTGGCAGGGAGAGGGGCCCTGTGCATTGGCTGCATGGGACCCTGGGCTTCTGGAAATCTCAGGAAGTCAGGAGACCAAACCCTCACTCCAACCATTACACAAGGGGAGAGCAAGCCCAGCCTTCTGAAGTTACAGTGAGGGGGAAACTTAGGGCCACCAGACAGCAAGAGTGAAAAATCAGGACCGGGGTGGGGGCTAATAGGAGCCTATATAAGAAAAAGACCCCAAAATCAGGACTATCTGTATAAAATCAGGACACCTGGTCACCCTAGGGGAATTCCACAGCTGAAACTTGGAGATTCCTCCTGCTGCTGACATAAAAAACAGTTTGGGAAGAACATGGTTCTGAGCCCCTACTAAGACAGAACCCCCATTGGAATTGGGGTTTGACTAAGGAATAATAGATGGTAGTTATAAATTCTGCTGTACAACACGTCTGAGCAAGGCCCACTTATGCTCAGAAAATATAGAGCATTTGGCTGAAAGTTTCTGAAGTTTTGGCCTTGCTGATAAGGCATGAGAGGGAGTTAGTTGGTAGGTAAAGAGAAGTACTCAATAGCTTTCATGGGAACTAGATGCTCTCTGTGGAATCATCCTCTGCTCAGCCCATAGATTTCCACGCAGAAACTAGAGTTGGAGGTAATGCTGTTAGAAACGTAATAATTCTTGCTGGGTCCCCTCTCTCAGGTTTCTACTAAGTAGCCTCAGGGGAACTCAGCCTGCTGGAGCTGTGTTACTGAAGGGGAAGGGATAATAGAGAAACACAGGAAGCAGCCATCCATCTGGACTTTTTTTTTTGCCACTGGGGATCTGAAAGTATTTTTTCCTGGGGATTCATTGGATTTATTAAATAGGGAGGCTTCACTCCCTGCCCACTCCAAGCCCCAAACCCCTGCCATGAGAGGGGACAAATTCCTGCAATCTATATGGCAAGCCCTTGAATTTTCAGTTTGATCTGGCCCTAAATTATTTTTCCACTTGGCAGTGAGCTAGTTGATTTTGTTTGTTTTGGTTTTTGAATTTTACTTGACTGAAAGAGAGAGTCTGGTCATAGCTGTGGCTCTCTAGCACTTATGGGTTTTTTTGATTGGAGGGGGGGTGGGTGGGGAGGTGGTGGTATATTTTAACTCATTTTTTATATTAGTTGCCAGGACTGGATGTTTCATCTAAAGCGTGGTCTCCTGCCTTTTGTAGGAAGAGATTCTTCATGATCAGGAGAGGCTAAAAGAAGAACAGCAAAATGTTCAACAGCGCAATCAGCAGCTGCTTTCTATTATGCAACAGTTTAAAGGAATGTGACCAGTCTGCTGAATAAAGCCTGAACCACATGAGCAGGATCATAGCAACAATACAACCCTACTTGAACAACTGAGTTCTTATATACTAATATAAAAAAGATCCAGTTACTGTGCATGTTGAAGGACCATATTCGGTTAGTGTGAAAAGGAGTTTAATCTCCTTAGGTTCTCTCATGAGCACTGGAATGATATCTCAATTAAATTTCCACCCACTACCTTTTGTGCATTTTCCATTTTGATTCAATGTTTTTTTCAGATTTTTGAAGAATTATTTCTTTGCCTTGTCTGAGCTTAAAAAAGAAGAAAAGGCAGAACACTATGGCTGCCCCTATGAAAGCTGGACCTACGGAGTTTTATTTCAGGGTCATGCGGTTAAAATTAGGATGTCATTCATATACCAGCAAAAAGAACAGCGCGGTTGTCAAGTAGGACATTCTTGTTTAAAAAAAAAAAGTTAAATATTTTGTAACAGTGGGAAAGAAGACAGAAACCATAGCTAGGATAATATGATTAGATTTTATGGCCAGATTCTGCTTACAACTAAACTGGTGTAACTGAAGAACAAGTCTATTGACTAGAATGGAGTTACATTGAATTCATACAGGGGGAAACTAGGAACAGAATTTTGAAACTGAGCTTTGCATTGGAGGGACCAAATATGGACCATGTTTAAACAGCTTACAGTGATAAAGCAAAAAATCATGTTTGTTGGGTATGGAGGAATTGTCAAAGGTTTTAGGCATTTTGTTTTCAGCTTGATTCATGAAAAAAAAGTTATTTCAGTCATCTGCTTCTCTGTATTAAACTATTTCTCCTTTTTAAATTTCAATGGGCTGCTTTATACCATCAGTTTTCAGGCAGAACTCCCTAGTGTTTGAAATCAGTGGGGAGTTTTGCTGAAAAATCGCTGGCACTATATAACCCCACATCTTAAAAATCATTTTTTTAACAGACTAATTTGTCAGTGTTTGTAAAGGGAAAAGTTGGAAACATTACACTATATTAGTAACATTCACCCCCAATTTCAGAAGTGATGTAGAAGTTAGATCTCCTTATACTCATGCTGTAGTACGTTCATGCCCAAAGCATAAGTGACTCTAAGATGGTATAATGTACACACTGTAAAGAAAGGAAGTGTGAGTAAAAGTAGGGGAGAAGTCCTACTTGAACTTATGCATTCTTACATCCTCCTGTTAGTTGGTTTTCTTGGTACACTTCTGTGTGGTCCCCTTGGCATGAGAGTATCAATTCAGGCCTGGTCTACACTAGAAAATTAGATCAGATTAACTACATCAGTCAGGGGTATGAAAAATCCACACCTTTGAGTGGTGTTGTTAAACCAGCATAAATCCTTGTGTAGCCAGCACCGATCAACAGAAGAATTCTTCCATCGAGCAAGCTAGTGCCTCTTGAGCATAGGTACTGGAACTAGAGGTGCTGGGGGCGATGCCATGCCCCCTGGCTTGAAGTAGTAATAACAACCCAAATATGTGGTTTCCGCCTTCAACATTCCCACTATAACAATTGTCCCAACACCACTGCTCTCGAGATGGATTATCTACAGTGTTGGGAAAACCACTCCTATTGGCAACAGGTAGTATCTACACTGAAACACTACAGCAGTGCAGCTGTAGCATTTTAAGTGTAGACAAGCCCTCAGACTCAAATGGCCTAAATTCAGAGGTGTTGTGAAAGGGGGTGATGCAATTAAGTTACACGTTGGTAAGTGGGTATGAGTCGGAGTAAGTCAGTCTAAGGAAGTAGAGGACTGCTGGGGTATTTTTCACTCTCTGACTCAATGACTTGCAGAAAGCTAGCCAGCCAATTGTAAGCAGTAATGAGTCCTTCAAAGCAGAATAGCTTAAAGCAGCTTTCTGTTAGTATGTATAAATACCAAATTCCAAATAGCATAAAAAATGGTTGCCATAGCACTTGGCCCCCAAACTAAAGGTGCTATTCAGCCTCTTTTAGTATCTTGCGATTTGAATGCTGGGATATATCTGAGCGGAGGCTATAGAGTAAATAGATATTTATAAGATACATTGTTATTATACTGCAGCTGTGGAAGGCACAGGCATCGCTCAGTGAGGAGGAATTCACTGGGGCTTAATTCCTCCTCAGACAATGAAATCTCAGGGACTGTCCCCCACCGCCTGAGCAGCTGCCAAGAAAATAGACCACATTCTTTACCCATTCCAGTTTTACTTGGAGTGAAAAATTAAGTGTCCATTGGATCCTCACTCCCACACCATCTGTACGACAAGGCTGCTCCCAAGCTTTCCAGCTTACCAGTAGCAGCAGGAGAGTCTGGAGCCATCCTGGGCAACCACAGCAGCAGGACACGCAGAGATCACCTGACCTCTTGGACTTCCCCCTCCCCACCCTGTTTCGGTCAGTTAGCATTGGGCTGATGGGCCACCCCTTATGCTCATCTTGCCTCTCCCCAGACTCCTCCCATGCCATTCTTTCCCCCCTTTGCAGTTTGCTGCTTCCCCCCATGTCACCTGGTCCCCCAGTGGCCTCCCCCCTTGCAATTCGCTCCCCCCTATCTTGCATGGTCCCCCTCACCTCACAGTTGACTGCCTTCCAGTTTGTTACCTGCCTCCCCTGCCCTCCACCCCACCTATGTTTCCCCTTTATTGTTTGTTACCTACCTCTCCCATCCTGCCCAGTTTCCCTCCTCTTGCTACTTTGTTGCCAGTCCAAGCCCCTTCCCCTTACTGTATGTTCTCTACCTTCACTATCCTCACCTGCCTTATGCACCTGCGCATTCCCAGTGCTTGTGATTCTCCACCCCCATTTTGTTTTCACCCCCTCCCATTCCACTGCACCCTTCACACCTACATCTGCCCATTGCTCCCAGTGCAGCTGGTGGAGCTAGTTTACCCAAAACTGCCTGCTGTGACCCCCCAACTTCTTTGTTGGTTTGTTTTAATTCCACCATTTTCTGTTTGCACCATCCTGCTGCCACTCATAGCCTAGTGAGGAGGAATAGTTAGCATCCATTTTCCCTCCCCCGCCCTTAATAATTTCTTCCCCCCAGCCCCCACTCCTGTGGCTGTTCCCATCACCTGTCCTCAATAGCGGATCCCAACTCTGCCACATGTGAGGCTTCTGCTCTGGTGGCTGCATCCATGGGGGAAAGAGAGGGAAGAGACTCAGGGGGGAGGTTCCCCAGTCACCACTGTTGCCCCATCTTGGTTTTCTCTCCCATCCACCCCTGTGGCTACCACCACCAACACTGGGACAATGGCAGCAGCAGGGACCCTGCTGCTAAAAGTCGTACCACTACCAAGGGAGCCCCCCTCAATCAGCAAAAAGGACCAGGGTAGGAAAAAGGGCAAGAGCCCTCTGTGACGGGTTGGATCACAGAAACCCCCTTGGGAGCTGCCACCCGATGTGCAAAGACTACCCCTGCTTCTGTTTTCCCTACCAGCTCAGGACTCCAGCACCC